GTTTGAGGCTTTGTATTTCCTGTGTCATGTACTTTGAACTGAGTCTGAGTGTGCCCCTTTGGCATTAGTGGGTTAATCCTATTATATCCTGTCATAGAGTTTGGGTGGGGTATGTAGATTGTCTTTGTCTTCCTAAGCTTCTAACTGGAGGGCTCTAACCTTCCTGAATGGATTATTACATTTGCATTTCCACAGAGCTCGTTTCCGTTTGGGGGAGGGAGACTTAGGGCTATTAAGAAAAAGTGGGCATGCTTTTCTGCCTCTTTAAGATCATTTGAGGAAATATAATCTTCTGCCCTTTTAATATTTCCTTCTCTGAGGGGGCTGCCTTCCCACAACTGAGGCTCAACTCCTAGAGCAGTAATGGAGAACCATGTGTCAAAAATGTGTCAAAAAATTGGAAATATATCCAAAATTTGGAAACTGCCTAATTTACTCTGCTGGAATGACATACATATAAAGGGAGTCTTATTTGGGAGTTTATTTGGTGACCATTCAAATTTACATCGGCACTGAAAAAAGTGACTTATAATCATTTTTAACATGACCGTGACAGCATCCCCAGGGTCACGTGATCAAAATTCAGAGGCTTGGAAACTGACTCAGATTGATGACGGGTGCAGTGTCTCTGGGGGTCACGTGATCCCCTTTTGAGATCATCTGACAAGCCAGATTGCCTTAACAACCATGTTACTAACTTAACAACTGCAGTGATTTATTTAACAATCGTGTCAAGAAAGGATGTAAAATGGGACAGAGAAAGCCGTGATCTTTCATTTAACAATTGTCTCGCTTAACAACATAAATTTGGAGCTCCATTGTGGTCATAAGGTGAAGACTATCTACACACACAGAGACACGAAACAATTCTCTATCACTCCTCCATCTAGGCCAGGGTGGAGAACCTTGCCTCTTTTATGACTTGTGGACTTCAACTCCTAGAAATGGCTACCCTCCTCTTTAGTGGATAAAGATTTGGAATTGGCCGAGGTTCAGCTTTTTTTACTTAACTATGAAAAACAGAAGCTGTATTTACTCACAATTCCACTTTATTTGCACAACTGCAATATTGGCTACCTAAATGGAATCATAGTAGAATCAATGGTAGGCCACTAAATCACAATTATCCAATGTTGAAACTAGCCAAACCTAGTTATTACTGCAGGTGACATGGTTAAATCTACATGAAGACATCCAGTGGATCTCTTCCTTCTCCTCCTCCTCCTTCTCCTCCTCCTCCTCCTCCTCCTCCTCCTCCTTCTAGCACTGATGATGTTACCTAGTTTTGAAATGAAATGTCTGCAAGAAACCACCAAGCTCAGAGAGCACCAAAGGCCCCATAGTTTTCCTCCTCCTCCTCCTCCTCCTCCTCCTCCTCCTCCTCCTCCTCCTCCTCCTCCTCCTCCTCCTCCTCCTCTTTTCTTTTTCCATTTTTCCTCCCTTGTGATTCATCATATTTTGCTTATAGTCCAGATATCTAGTGTGTCTCAGTAGATCAGTGTTTCTCAACCTCTGCAACTTTAAGAGAGTCTCTTAATCAAGATCACGTGAAGTATTAATACCACTCTTCAATGCCTTGGTAAGGCCACACTTGGAATACTGCATCCAGTTTTGATCACCACGATGTAAAAAAGATGTTGAGACTCTAGAAAGAGTACAGAGAAGAGCAACAAAGATGATTAGGGGACTGGAGGCTAAAACATATAAGGAACGGTTGCTAGAATTGGGTATGTCTAGTTTAACGAAGAGAAGGACAAGGGGGGACATGATAGCAGTATTCCAATATCTCAGGGGCTGCCATAAAGAAGAGGGAATTAAGCTATTTTCCAAAGCACCTGAAGGCAGGACAAGAAGCAACGGGTGGAAACTAATCAAGGAGAGAAGCAACCTAGAACTAAGGAGAAACTTCCTGACAGTGAGAACAATTAATCAGTGGAACAGCTTGCCTCCAGTAGCAGTAAATGCTCCAGCACTGGAAGTTTTTAAGAAGAGACTGGACAGCCACTTGTCCGAAATGGTGTAGGGTTTCCTGCCCGAGCAGGGGGTTGGACTAGATGACCTCCAAGGTCCCTTCCAACTTTACTACTATTATCTCTAATACAACTTTAAGTGTTGTTAAAAAGCAACTTCAAGTGTTTTTCAACCTCAGCGTTACAGCTGGGGAGTTCTGGGACTTGAAGTCCACATTTTCTAAAGTTGTGGAGGTTGTGAAATCTTCCACTAGATGGTAGCCCCTGTCTATTTTTGGGTGATGTTGGAACAGGGCTAACTGTGGGAAACTATTGGGGAATTCCAGAGATGATGTCTAAACTAGAACCTAGCCATATTTAAATGCTAATTACACATATGGGAATGCTGATTTAAATTTGTAACTGACCTGATTAAGCTTGTTGTGTGAATGCAGCCATTGGACATTTCAAAGCAGATGGGATACAGGAAAAAAAATGGGATCAAAGGAAGCTCAATTACTATTGCCCCTATATCTGGCCCCCATTCCTGTTTTTTTTGTGGCTATAAGAAAATAAGCTTTAAATGGTGTTGCCACTGCTGTTCTGGCAATTTTTATTCACTTCTGCCTTCCTTTCAATATTTAGTTAGTTCAAATATTTTATACTGCTCTTAAAACACCTCAAATACGTTTTTAATAAAGAAACAGCAATAAAAAATTAATTTACGACAGTGGTCTCTGCATCCTTTCTGCATTTTTAGCTGATCAAGCTGCTGATTCTGGACTAGGGATTCATTATTGCTCTTGGATCGGTGCAAAATGGGATATGAAGATATGCTGGGCTTATCAACCGAAAGGCTGACGGTTTGAGACCCGAGTGCAGCATAACAGGGTGAGCTCCTGTTCGTGCCTCAGCTCCATGCCAACTTAGCCGTTTGAAAGAGGCAAATGCATGTAGATAAATAGGTACCCCTTTGGTGGGAAGGTAACAGCGTTCTGTGCACCTCAATGTATGCTCATGCCTCCCACATGACCATGGAAGCGTCTTCAGACAACACTAGTTCCCTTGGCTAGGACATGGAGATGAGCACCTCCCCCTAGAATTGGAGAACAACTGGACAGGGGAAACCTTTATTTTTTCCCTTTAAGATCAAATGTCTGTAGAGGTTCTCATTCTCCTCCTTTGATGCTCTAGATTCCAAGCGACAAAAACATCAACATCAACTAGATGCCTGCTTTCTTGCTTCCAAGGAGACGCCTCACTAATTGCTTCTCTGTCCCCCCCTTTTGTGGCATGGAGAAAAACAACAACAAATGTTTTCCTTCCATTCTAAGGAAGGGAAGTGTTAGAAAAGCAGTTGGCATTTTCTTAAGAGATCACCAGGTCCTTCTAGTTCCTGCTCTGGACAGAACATAATCAGACAGAAACTGATTAACAGTGGCTAACAATGATTACTAGTGAGAACAATTAACCCATGGAAGAGCTTGCCTTCAGAAGTTTTGTGTGCTCCATCACTGGGGGCTTTTAAGAAGAGACTGGATAGTAATTTGTCTGTGATAGAATAGGGTCTCCTCAGTGGTGGGATTCAGCCAGTTCGCACCAGTTCGGCAGAACCGGTAGCTAATCTTTTGTTGCCGACACCCAGAATGAACTTTTGGAAGTGGCATCCACACAGATGACTGGTTTTTCACATATTTGAATCCCACCACTAGGTCTCCTGCTTGGACAGGGGGTTGGACTTGAAGACCTCCAAGGTTCCTTACAACACTGTAATTATGTTATTCTGATTTTTTATGTTCCTGTGTAGATCATGTTACGAGCAACTTTAACCAACTTCCAGAATTAATGTCTAGCTGGGGAATTCTGGGAGTTGAGGTTTTCACATGTTGAATTGCTGAGGTTGAGAGATACAAGTCTAGAAGAGCTTGTGATTTCAGGATGGTAGTGATGGAACCCCTGGACCATTCCAAGCTTATTTCCAATGACACCCACTCTTTGACTTGCTTTAACTTAATTGCTTTACTAGTTCTTGCATAACACAAATTACTACCTCCAACAGATTTTTAATTTAATGTTGATAAAGCATGCAGAGACATTAAGAGAATGGAAGCTCTATAAATTATCTCAATAAGCATACCAGATTATCCAGGGTAAAATTGCTTTATCCCCCTCTTGACTCCCAAGGGTGAACTACAGAAGGTCTTCCAAAGGAAAATTCCTTGAGATTATTGATATGAATACCTAATAATGGATGCTATGAGAGACAACTTCCACCCTAGAAACCAGGAGATTGTGAGTTCCAGTCCTGCCTTAAGCATGAAAGCCAACTGAGTGACTTTGGGCCAGGCCTTCTCTCTCAGCCCAACCCACCTCACATATGGTAGTGGTCATGAGGAAAAAAGGAGGAGAAAGAAGTATTATATATTTATAAAAATAACAGAGATGAGATAAAAAGGTATTAAAATAAATATCTCCTGCCACTTGTTTAATCGCTTGAATGAACTACAGAAGACTCGATTATTTGCATTCTTAGTTTATTTTGATTACAGCTTCATGACAATTGAAAGTTAAGAAACAACTTCACAGTGAGCGAGAATATTGAAGTGTAGTAATTAAATCGCATCACCCATCACCAACTCAAACCTTATACTTTAATCTCAAACTTGAGTGTTTTTCATCCCAAATTCTCACTGCTGTTTGCATTAAGCACTTAATTTCAACTCCGACCAAATGTTTTTGAAAAGCCCCTCCATCCTTCCAGTGCCTGAGGATTCTGGCATTCTAGTGTTTCAATGTCGCAAATGATTAATCCATTTGCTAATTCCGTCTTTCTTCTTGGGTAGAAACATGAATTTTTGTTTGCACATCCCTGGGCACTGACTGTTGAAAAATATGCTGACACTGGGAAGGATGAGAATAAAGGATTTAAGAAACAGTTTTCTCTTCACTTTTAATGGTGTAGCATTGAGATACATTAACAAAAGTATGTACTATAGCTGTCTGGTCATCTAGAAAGTTCCTCCACAAATTGAGAAAGAAAGCGTTGCTCACCTGCACGTATATTGAATTTTACGTTGAAACATTGGTCCTCATCCCCGAGACAGAGAATGGATCCATTTATTTCAGAAACACCATTTTGTTCGTAAGAGCCTGGGCAAACAAGCCCATTGGGTTTAAGGATGTCACGCCCTGGAACTGCAGAAAGGAAGCTTCCGAATTAGCAAATTGTTTCACAGCCACAATCCTTTCTGAAATATTTATAGCCCAACTAAGTGCCCTCTAAGCATTTTGACTATGGTTTTTATAATTCTCAGTCAGGAAAAGATTTGTTTTCCCCAAATAGCTAATCACCTTGTGTTCCTACTGGAGTATAGTGTGAAATCTGGAATGCACCATTTCTTAATGAACTTCAAGCACATAGTGGAGTCTTTAGAAATAATGCAAAATAAAACTTTAGTCTCCTCCCCTCTTGCGCCTTCCAATTTGTGTCAGAAGGAACCAGATCATTCCACTGATTCTGGAGGGGGTTTCCAAAAATGTTGTCCTTCTTTTTGCTACAACGTCTTTCTAAGGATTTTCATGCTACTTGATCCCTCCACCACCAAACATACAAGGTGTTGAAAGCAAGGAGAATCTACTCTTTCAAACGGAGAGCCTGCTGGTTGTTAGAATGGACATTTTAATCTCAGGTTACTTACTGGGAAGAGGTGCAGTATTACAGCCATCCTTCTCACAACATGCTATTCTTGCCTGCAGGTATTTTCTAGCTACTGACGTGACGCCATAATAAGCATTAGAACATTGCTCAACTGTTGCACATGATTTGGCAGTAAAGAAGAGTTGAGAAGGGGCTGCAAAATTTAATCAGAAAAAAAGAAAACCCCATTATGGTGGATAACAGAGAAATAGGCTTCAAATTTAAAGGTTTAAACTCAGATGCATCTGAGGATCAATTCTAACCGGTTGAAAAGATTTAAATTGAGGATAGGAAGGCATAAATGTTGGATTGTTCCTTCCAGGTATGCTGAGATGAAATGGAAATAATGGAGATATTAATAATGTTTTGAGGTGAATGAGGTGCGGTATGATAAAAATTTCACTCACTCATAGTGCTACGAAAGGAAAGTGTAAGGCAATATTTTTCATCCGTTCCACATTCCATCAACTTCATGTCCTCATTTCGGCACTCATCCCTGCTAGCAAAACAGGTCTGACATTTCAAAGATGCCACTGCAGATAGAAGAAGAAAAAGAAGGAAGGAAGGAAGGAAGTTAGGAAGAAAAAGAAAAAAAGAAGAAAGAAAGATAAAGAAAGAAAAAAGATGAAAGGAAGGGAGGGAGAGTGGGAGAAAGGATGAAAAAGACAGAAAAAGTAAGGAAAAAAGAAAGAAAAAAAGAAAGAAAAAAGAATGAAGGGAGGGAGGGAGGAAGAAAGAAAGAATGAAGAATAAAAGAAAGAAAAAGAAAGAAAAAGGGAGGGAGGGAGGGAGGAGGGAAAAAATAAAGAAAGAAAGAAAGAGAAAAAGAAATAAAAAGAAAGAAAAAGGAAGGAAGGGAGGGTGGAAAAAGAAAGAAAAAGAAAGAAATAGAAAGAAAAAAGAAGGGATGAAGGGAGGGAGGGAGGAAGAAAAAAGAAAGAAAGAAAAAAAAGAAAAAGAAAGGAAAAGGGAGGGAGGGAGGAAGGAAGGAAGGCAATTTTTAATTAGTGATGCTGTACTTCTAGCAATGTTCAAGATGTATAATGAGATAATTACAGGTAGTCCTCAACTTACAACCATTCCTTTAGTGGCAATTCAAAGAATAGAGATTGCTTGAAAGAACCCAAAATTGAAGTTCTTCCCCTATTTTGGAGAAATCCTTAATCACAATTTAGTCAAAATTCTTCCAGACTTCTCTTCCCTCCCAAATTTACCCTTGTGTGACTTACCTGTTGAGATGAGTGAAGAGAGGAGGCACAGGACAAGGATTCTAGCAGACATCATGATGACAGTGTGAATCGACTGTGTCTAGCGAAGGCAGTGTGAGGCATTTATAGTTCCTGGAGTATGCCTGCCTTGGAGGATGAATTTGAAGAATTCTGGTGAGGTGGAAGGTGAGTTGAGGATGACAATCAAATCCCACACAGAGTAGAGCAATGTCGAGTTACACAAGAAGTTGGAGAAAGGGAAAATGTGCACACAATCCATCAAGATGAGTGGGTAGTTTTGTCATATTGATGGTGAAGGAAAACTTGATTTGTGCTCTTATGTGGGGCCCGTGTTTAGTAGAAGCTTTGCGTGTCAGTAATGCCTGTCTATTATTGGGGAAGAAATGAGGTTCAAAATCACCATTGGGTTGAAATTATTGTAACTCGATAGAAATGATTTCATAACAAATATTTATTGTCCAGGAATTCTAAGCAGAGACTTACTATGCTGTAGATGTGTCTGGTCTTTTCATATCTGTTCATTCCTATAGGTAAATTGATATTGAATTTTCCCCTCTTCTTCTTCATGAGCATCACATGTTGGCAAAGGATCTCCAAGCCGTGTGGCTAGGAGACATGAGGCTGGATGAACAAAGGTATTCCCATCTGGCTTGTGTCCAGGAAGTCTCCCAATGACCAATGATCCTTTGAGACTTCTCCCACTGGCCCATCAACATACCTAGCATTTAACCCAATAACTGCCAGATATTCTAACATACTGATACATGCTCTCTAGCTGGGTTACATAGAGCTATGCGAGGTCCAGAACAGACCCATCCCACTTTGCATCTTAAAAAGACAGAACTCTTGGAATCTTTCTTCCAACAGGCATCTTTATTAAGAGAAACTGGTTGCAGGCATTCTAGACAGAACTTGGGGGCCAAGCCCTATGGTTCAAGGTTTTAAGGGGTTCCCCTGTAGCCCCACCCAAACACCCCCTTCTTCCAGCGACAGTCTCAGGCATTACATTCCCACCCCCTTTCTCTCACTGCCGACAAGAGGTAGACTTCAGAGAGGAGTACATGAAAGGTAATAGCCTCATTGTTATGGTTAGTCCTTTTGGTGGTATCCACATCCAGTCTCTTTGAAGTATACTGAAGGAAGTGAGGGCCATAAAACCCCTTTGTTCACCCCCTTCCCTTCATTGTATGACAGAATCCAGAGAAGGCAGGAATGGGGTTTTCCATAGTTGATAACTAGAGATGAAATATAATTGGATTTTGACATCCTGCCCCCTTAAAAATAAGATAGATCCACCTGAAAGAAAACAAAACAGGTATAAAAGTTAGTCGGGTCTGTTAGGATACTCTGTGTGAAACTTCTTTAATAGCTTCAGGGCTCTGACATGACGTTTATGGACCCATTCATTTTGTGAGGCAGGGAGATGTTTCCATGCAACAAGGTACTGAGTCGCTCCATGATATCTCCTAGAGTCAAGGATTTCCTTTATTTTGAAGTGTTGTTCGCCCTCCACCATGATTGGAGGTGGTGGGGGGGGGATTTTTGGCTGTAAAGATGCCTGATGTTCTCTTTTCAGCAAGCTGCAATGAAAAATTGGGTGTATTTGCCTGAGATTTTTTGTTAATTCTAATTCTACTGTTACTGGGTTTATGATTCTTTTAATTGGAAAAGGCCCTATATATTTTGGTCCAAGTTTTTTACAGGGTTGTAGGGACTTTAGGTATTTTGTAGATAAGTACACCATTTCTCCTATAATGAAAGGTGTAGACTCAACCCTTTTTTTATCGGCTTGTGCTTTATATGCCTGCCTAGCTTCATCTAATGCTTTTCTAACTATTGGCCAGGTGTTTTGTAGTTTTTCCATCCATTCTTTCAGTGATGGGATTGTTGGTTTGTTTGGGATTAATTCTGGCATGGGGTTGAAACTTTGACCAGTGGCTATTTGAAAAGGAGTGTAACCTGTGCTGGAGTGGACTGCATTATTGTAGGCAACTTCTGCAAAAGGGAGTAAGTCCGCCCACTCGGTCTGCTGGAAACTAAGAAAACATCTTAAATATTGCTCAAGTACTGAGTTCATTTTCTCAGCCCCCCATTCTCTTGTGGGTGATGACTAGATGTCAGTCCCTGAGTGGTCCCTAAAAGGGATAAAAATTCCTTCCAAAATGCAGACATAAATTGCACTCCCCTATCAGAGATGATGCGTTGGGGTGCCCCATGCAATCTGTAAATGTGCTGGATGAAAGGTTTCGCTAAGGCTTTTGCGGTGGGAATCTTTTGGCAAGGGATAAAGTGCACCTGTTTGGAAAACAAGTCCGTGACCGTCCAGACGACAGTATTTCCATTGCTTTCTGGCAATTCCACTATAAAGTCCATGGCTATTTGTCTCCAGGGGGCTGAGGGATTTGCCACTGTTTGTAATAGTCCTGGCGATTTCCCTTGCAACCTCTTTGCAGTTGCACATTTTGGGCAGCTGGCCACGTAGCTTTCTATGTCCCTTTTTATGGATGGCCAACAAAATTGCCGTTTAATTAAGTGTAAAGTTTTCACAAATCCAAAATGCCCTGCTGATTTTGTGTCATGGCAAAGCTGTATGAATGTGACTCTTTGGGTTGTTGGTATATATAACTTTTCCCGTACCGAAGGCAACCCGTCTCTCATTGTGCACACATTTTTGTTTTTCTGGAACCATTCATCTGTTTCCAAACTTTTCCGGAATTCAATTCCAGTTTGGCTGTCCAGTTGTGGTTTTAATTTAACTTGGGTTCTGGTGGTTACTGGTGCTGCCAGTTGTGACTCTGCCATCATTGGTTTAGAGTCTGTGGCTCGCGTGCTGTTATATTGGGGCATGCATCTGCCAGGAAGTTCTTTCTCCCCCGGTAAATATTTGTGTAACATCGAGTTACACAAGACGTTGGAGAAAGGGAAAGTTCTTTCTCCCCTGGTAACATGTTTGTGTAACATCGAGTTACACAAGAAGTTGGAGAAAGGGAAAATGTGCACACAATCCATCAAGATGAGTGGGTAGTTTTGTCATATTGATGGTGAAGGAAAACTTGATTTGTGCTCTTATGTGGGGCCCGTGTTTAGTAGAAGCTTTGCGTGTCAGTAAAGCCCATCTATTATTGGGGAAGAAATGAGGTTCAAAATCACCATTGGGTTGAAATTATTGTGGTAAGATTTGAGGACGAACCACACTTGTGATCAGGCAGAGTAGAGGCCCCTGGCTAAATAGGACTGAGAGAGATTTTGGAGTGCTAGTGGACAGTCACTTGAATAGGAGCCAGCCATGTGCTGCAGCTGCCAAAAAAGCCAACACCGTTCTAGGCTGCATTAACAGAGGGATAGAATCAAGATCACCTGAAGTATTAGTACCTCTTTATAATGCCTTGGTAGGACCACACTTGGAATATTGAATCCAGTTTTGGCTATAACTGGTTTAAGGGGCCTGTTTGAAAGATTCTTTTTTGTTGTGAAGTATTAGAAAGAGACGTTGTGGGTTAGGCCAACTGGAATGTGAATTTGGGGTTGGGCAAAGGTGGAAGAAATCTTTTCCTTGAGCAAAAGATTAGCCATGCGAAAAGAAACCCAAGGACTTCTCTTAATCATTAATTTTTTAACAATAACAGGAACTACATTGTGTACAGAAAGAAATGGTTCAACCTGTATCTTTCTTTATGAATCTGATCTTTTGAAATGATGGATAGTGCTTGGTTCCCAGTCATGATTTTTCAGCTTTAAAGTGCAAAGAATTTTGGTTGACGCATATTAAAATGAATGAAAATGATTAAGATTGTTTTATGATTTGAGCTTCAGTTCTGCACAGGAGATAAAATCAGTTAGGTTGTAGATGTAGATCTTGATTCAAATACTAAATTAGGCCTGTTACATTTCTCCATGAGTGTGAACATCATATTCAACCAGCTAAAAATCGAGGGAGGCAAAAAAGCTCAGAGGACAGGACAGTAATTGCTGTGTCCTGAGCCTGCTGAAGCATTCAGCAGGCTCAAAAATGTTGCAAATGGTCCTGGGCAAACCGAAAGCTGCCCGGGACCAGACTGGCTGTCGTCAGCCTTGCACATATGCGCAAGGCGCGAAAAACAGCCTTTTTTCATTGGGTGACACTGTCCGGGTTTAGGACGCTATAAAAGGCCTGCATGTCATTTTGCTTTTGCTGGTTGTAAGAAGAGATCAATAAAGGAAGCTTGTTTGTTCACCATGGGTCTCCGTTTAATACCTCAACCCTGCAAACATAAAACTGGCAACGAAGGTGTGATCGCTGCAGGCAAGAGGAAGATCTACAACTGAATTTAGGACTCAGAGAAGGTCCTGAAGCTTAGGAAGTTAGCGTCCAGCTCTGCAACTCAGCCTGCCAATACTGCAACACTGGAGGTGAACTTGGCAAACGGGCTCCTTCCCCAACAAGACAAGGCTTGCAGTGAAAGGCATTAATGAGGGCTATAAAGACTTAAAATGTCTAAGATTGGCCACTTATCTGACTTTGATGTTACCCACCCGGAGCACTAGAATTCATGTGTGGTGCGGGTGGAGAACTACTTTAGGGTCAATCAGATAAGGGAAGACAGCCTTAAAGCGGCAACCCTGCTGTGTGACTGTGGACAGGAAACGTTTGACATAGGAGAGAATCTGGTGGCCCCTGCACTTCTGGAGTCAGTACCTTACACTGACTTGAAGAAAATGCTTAAAGAACATTTCCAGCCTACACTTTCTGTAATTGCTTGGAGGCATGCATTCGAGCAGAGAGACCAGAGGCTGGGTGAGTCTGCTGCGGACTTTATTGCTGTCTTAAGACAGGCGGCCAGGCCTTGTGAATTCAAGGACCTGGAAGAGAGGCTGCAAGATTGTTTCATTTGTTGCCTAAGGAGTAGGGAGCCTCGAGAGAGGTTGCAGCTGAAGAAGCAGTGGGCGGTGCTGTGAAGGCTTTGAGGCTTGCCAGAAATCCTCCAGCCACTGTGACCGTCCATCAAGAGGTCACTCAAGAAGATCCAGCACTGGATCCTGAAGAGGAGGTGGATAGGCTACACCAGCCAGCTGAGAGAAGGCCGAAGGAGTGTCCAGAGAAGGCTCCAGCATCTCCTCAGTGTTTTGGGTATGGAGGATGCCACAAGCGCGCTGACTGCAGATTCCACTCCACCATTTGCCGGGCATGTGGAAGGCGAGGCCACATTGCCCCCATCTGTTTGGGTCACCAGAAGGTCCAACCTCAGGAAGAATTGCTTCGGAAAGGTACTAGGGTCCCCAGCCAACATAGGGTGGGTTTCTGTGCATCGCGCAGGAGTATTCTAAAGACGGGAACACACAAGCCCCTTAAGCAACCTAGAACTAAGGAGAAACTTCCTGACAGTGAGAACAATTAATCAGTGGAACAGCTTGCCTCCAGAAGCAGTAAATGCTCCAACACTGGAAGTTTTTAAGAAGAGACTGGACAGCCATTTGTCCGAAATGGTGTAGGGTTTCCTGCCCGAGCAGGGGGTTGGACTAGATGACCTCCAAGGTCCCTTCCAACTTTACTACTATTAAGAAAAAGCTTCGCATTGACATGAAGTTGCAAGGGGTTCCCTTATCAATGGAGTTGGACACAGGGTCTGCTCTATCAATCATTTCACATGACACCTTCAAAAGGATTTGCAGCAGTAG